GACCCTGGAGCTCTGCCAGGGTGCCCGGGCCCGAATCGTCTCCTTGTGCAGCCAGGGAGCCAGCCTGGTGTGGTGTGAGGAGAGGCCTCCCCTGGATGCCCACTCGGACATGAGCAAGTGTGCCTTCAGGTTCTGTGTCTGCACCCGGGCCCTAGAGGTGGGGGAGCAAGGTGTGCAGCTGGGCACCGTAAGGATAGTCCTGCACAACAGCCCTGAGTACCAGGTCCTGGCCTCCCCCCAGCACGTCTTCCTGGTGCCTGCCACCAACAGCTTTGCCACCACTTCCAAGTTCCTTCTCATCTGGCATCCCGAGAAGGCAAAGCTCACCATCGCAGCCCCCTCTGCAGGTTTCATCCACAGCAAGGCACTGCACTCCAGCAACGAGTCAGATTTCAGGAAGCTCCTGCTGGGTTCTGTGGGTCTTCTCTCAGGTTTGGCACCCCTGGACATTCACACCTCCACCGTGTCCAATGGCGGGGGTCTGCTGCTGGTGAGCACAAAGGGTGCTGTGAACTTAGTGGAGCCAGATGGGACACAGAGACATGTCTTTGACCTGGGGGGAGGCCCCCTGGCCCAGGGAAGTCCTGTCCAGCTGAAGACCTTTGGCAGCGTTTTGGCCTGTGTACTGGCTGGGGTCCTGTACCTCATCGACCAGAACAGCGGAAGGCTCATAGAAAAAAAAGTCCTGAGCATGAAAGACGTGCATTTCTTGGAGTCCCCAGGAGAGGAGGATGGTATCCAGCTTCTCTCTCAAACTGGCATCTACAGCTTTAGCTTCTCCAAACCTGAGGACAGCAACAGACCTGAGCCGTGCCTTGTGGAGATGGTGTTTGAGGAGGCCTGCAGATACTATCAGAGAAGGAGCCTCAGCAGCTCCAAGCTGACAGTGGAGAAGTTGAAGAAAGGTGGTGTGTTCCAAGCTCCTGTGGCCCTTGCTGCCATCCTGCAGCACACCCTCCGCCAGAAGCAGAAGCCAGCCCGAGGCCTCCAAGACACTTATGGCAAGCTGTTGAGCACAATGAGCCTGGAGCTGCAGAGCTACATGAGCCTGGAGCTCCTCAAGACCTGCGTGGTGTGTGCCCCAGAGAGTGAGGTGGAAAGCTACTGTGAGGAACTGGTGGAGCAGGAGGTCAGCCGTGTTCTGCATTCTGACATGGACAAGGACAATTTAGCCTACCTGAACTCGATCTTTGCCTCCTTCCCGAAGGCTGCCTGGAAGGCCACAAGAAGCTGCCTGCAGCTGCAGCAGAATGGGGATGGCCTCTTGGTAGCCAGGGCCACGCCGGAGGTGTGGAAGAAGGTCCTGGGGGGGCCGCAGCAGGAGGAGGTAGGTCAGAATGGGGTGGTCCCGCTCTTTGAGCTCATCTGTGCCTCCTTCTTGAGGTTCAAACCCAAATGGCTGCCCAGTTTTGTGGAGCTGACCCAGCAGTATGTTGGCATCTCTTGGGCATACAGCAGCAAGGAGGGCCCAGAGGGCCGGGTGCCCCTGTACAAGCGAGCTCTGGGAGTGCTGGCCAGGAATAACAAGCGCAGCGAGGCAGATGATGAGATGGAGCTCGAACTGCTGCTCTGCAGCAAGAGGCCTAAGGCTGTGCTGCAAGCTCTGCACCTTCTCATCGGCCTGAAGCGATGGCAGCGGGTGGTGGAGGTGGCAGAGAAGTTCTCCAAGCTCAGCCCCTTGCTTAACAAGGAGATATTCACCACACTGCTGGCAGAGTTTGCCCAACACCGGGAGCTGGACCCTTACTTGGACACACTGTGGCCGCTGTGCCCCGCTGAGCTCACTGCCTCAGACATCCTCACCGTGGTCCTGCAGCACCTCCCTCACTCCCAGGAGGACCCAGTGCCCTTCTCCAGCGAGGGGAACCAGCTGACTATAGGCTTGATCAAGCCACTGCTGCAAAGGGTTGTGCAGCATCCCTGTGTCCAGGATGAGATGTACTCAGATGCCTTGCAGAGCCCGACCTTCCCCCCTCCCACCCCACCCCGAGAGCACAAGATTCCTTCAAAAGCAGCGGCCGATGATGCCCCTCAGCCCCCCACAGCAAGGACTTCTTCCCCCTCGGCACTGGTACGGGGTGACACTGCGTGAAGGGGTGAAGCACAACAGGATCCCAAGCCTTGGGTGCACGAGTTGGGGAAAGCCACGTCCATCCCAGGAAATCCTGCCCTGCCCAGCAGTACGGAAGCCCGCTCTTCTCTGAGGCCTCCCTGCAGCAGCAGCTCGGAGAGCCCGCTGGGTGGCTGGGGTGGGGGATCTCCTCTGAAGCCAGAGCAGCCTTTCTGGCTATTTCTAGTAAGTGCAATTGCATGTGCATGCCGAGTGCATTTGCAGATATGAAAGCACTGGCTGCACTACAGGGCTACAGAACTGCTCCTTGCCAAAAGCACTTTGTTTTCAGTTCGCTTGGCTCCTTTATAACTTCACTTCTACTTCCCTGATCCTCTAGCAGTGGTGGTGGAGCGGTGGGCAGGAACACACAGTGCCTTTCCCCCATGTTCTCTGCTCGGTGGGTTGGGTGTTGCCTCCAAGCTCTGCCTGCGAGAAACTGGGCATGTTTCTCACAGCGAGGTCACCGAGTCCTGCTGCTTTGGGCTCAGTAAGATGCTGAATGTGACGTAGCTCCATGGTACTGGGAGTCCCAGCACACAGGCTGGCAGCTGCACTCTACAATTCCTCTGGGATCAATCCTGTAGCTGTGACTGATTGCAGCTACTTAGCTGAAGAGAGCAGCCTAATTCCCTTATCTCTCTATCCCAGACGGTACTGAACTCTCTTCTGAGCTGAGAAGCTGGCAGCAGCCTGTGTGAGCTCGGGGCTGGCCCTGCCTCTCCCTTTCCTTTGTGGAAGCTTAGATTATGCAGCAGGACACCCGGGCCCTCTGTTCCCATCTCCTCTACCTTTGCCCTTTGCACACAAAGGGGCTTTGTCAGGGTTGTCTGGCTCATATTGTGCCTGTTTGCAAAGCCAGTGTAACTTGAGAGCAGTCATGCAGGAAGATCCAGGTTCCAGCCTCTCTCCCGTGCTCAGTGCCTGGCCCTCTCCTCCAGGAGAGAGAGACCCTGGCTGTGGCTTTGCCCCTGCATTCTGGCCTGTGGTGTGAAGGAGCTGTCTCTTGCCTTGCTGGGCTGGCAGAGCCTGCCTGGGATGGAATGGGGGAAGCTTCAACGGCATTAGTCCTCTTAAGAGTGGGGTTAAGTGTGGAAGACAGACTTCTTTTAAAAATAAAGGTTCCTAAAGTAGTGCTGGGGTGGTGGTGGTGGATGTTGTGAGGACATATCCCCTTGGGCGGAGGGCAGTTTCATTTTACTTCTGGTGAAACGTGGCCAAGCTCAGCTGACTGTGGTACTGCCCAGCTGGGTGCAGAGATCAAGCCTGGCAGCTCATTCCTACTGTAGCACTCGGCTCCTTACCGCTGTGAAGTCAGGGGAGCAGGTGCCTGCACAGACAGGCTGGAGTGTGCACCACAGAGAAGGGCTGTCCAGCCAGTGCATGGCTGGGGCTGTTCACAAAGGAGAGCTGAGACAAAATCTCCCTTCCTCAAGAGCTTCAACTTGTCCTATTGTTCTTGTCTGGAAAACCAGCAACAGGGAGCACCTAGCTAGCCCTGGTAGAAGTCTGCTGCTGTTGGAGGGATCCTGGTTTGTTAAATCACTGTAAAGATGTGGCAGGGCCTCCTCCAGAGAAGGGCTAGGCCACAGAAAACCCCTGTGGTAGAAAAAAGCCTGGTAAAGAGGAAGAGGAACTGCTGCAGTGGTTCTGTAAAGGCTGGCTGGCTGTCAGTGAGACCTTCCTCGTGGTGGGCTTTGTGCTGCTGACTGTGGGACGCTGTGAGTTTCCCTCCCACGCCAGGGAAGTGGATTCTGGCAGCTGCTACTCGTGGGCAGAGGGAGCCTGGCATGAAAGGAGAGCTGGCAGAAGCCACTGTGGGCATTTTGCAATGAGCCATCCTCGCCTCTTCCACGAGCAGCTGCTGGCCCTGCCTGATGCTGCTCTTACCCGAGGAGGATGGACCCAGGCCCTTCTGAGAGCCATGGCTCCGGGCACTGGGATGCTGCCCTGGGACGATGCTGAATGGGGAGCTGCTGAGAGCGAGCCCCACATCTTTTAAAGGCTGGGCAGTAATTTGGGGAGATATGGTCATTGCTGGGGCCACATTTGGATGCAAGTAGCCATGGTGACACAGCAAAGAAGACAGGTCAGGCTCCAGCACTAGCTCTGCAGAGAAGAAAAGGCCTTGGCTAAAGGCTGAGCAGAGGGGAGCAGGGAAGGAGCAGCACCCACAAAGCCAGCAGTGGTCCTGCACAGGATGGTGTTCCTGAAGCACAGCGAGGGAAGAGGAGGTGGGGATGGCCTGGGGCTCAGGGATGGACACCTCCACACGTGGCCCCTAGACAAGCACTAAACAGTCACAGCTTGAGAAGTTAAGGGTTCAGGGTTGGGGAGAGTGAAGGCACAGCAAGTGGAGACAAAACTGAGCTAAATGCTCTCCAAGGAGGTGCTGGGAAATCGTGCCCCAAGGACCAGAAAGGGTGGGCATCCCTGGGGGAGCAGGGGCTGAGCCACCACACAGGAGAGATTCAGCTGGGTGACAGGCAAGCACAAGGCTCTCTCTGCAGTCAGGATGGGTGCCACGGGGAGATAGCAGGAGGTGAGACCAGTGCAGCCTCAGATAACGCCTAAAGGAAAAAACACTGATTAGAAGATCTGAAGGCAAATGGTAAAAGCGATAAAGCAGATGCACGTAGCAGAGAGCGAGCTGGCCAGAGAGACTTGGACTTTGCAACGAAGGAAATGAGTCAGGCTGCTCATGTACCTCCCCCGTGCCTGACCAAGCTTTCAGGATGGTCCCTGTGCTCGACCAGGAGCAGCACAAAGCAGCACTTGCACTCGCCCCCACCATGGGTGCAGACCAAGTTGCGCTTGGCTCACCTGGGCTTGCAGCTCTCGCTGGGCCCGTCTGTGCCGTGCGGCAGCGTGAGACCTGCAGGGGTGGACCGTGTGCCACCATATCAAGCAGAAGGAGGGAGGGAGGTGCAGGCTGCAGGCACCCTATCAACTAACTGGAAGCCCACAGGCGATACATAGCAGGGCCACTGGAGAGCACAGGGAAGTGCCCATGCACTGTGCATGACATGGCACCTCACGGAGAAGAGGCTGTCAGTGCAGCTTTTCCCAGGGAAGGACCTGGCACCCATCCAACCGTAGGTGCAGAGATGCCTGGTGAGGGGAATGTCACCCAGCCTCGGCGACACCAAGCAGTGGTCCTGCATCCACCCATGGGCTGGGTCAGGACTCCAAGAGCTGGCTGCGGGGAGCATGCTTGGGCACCCCAGCAAGAGCCCTGCAGTGCCAGGCACAGCCCCAGCTTGTGCCAGGAGTGGGGAGCCCTCCCTGCCGCTGCCCCTGCGTCCTCCCATCGCAGCCAGGCGCGAAGAGCACAGCGGTGCACACAAACACACTATTTATTGATTGGCACCAGAAATCACAGCCTTGGGGAGTCAGGCTCCTTGCAAAATTAAATAGTCACATTTTTCAAGTGAGGGTCCTAGGTGAGCAGGGTCCCGCTGGCCAGCAGCGTGGGCTGCGGTGGCATGGACAGTACAAGCTGCCCTGAGCCCACGGGGTCTGGTGGGGAGGGTGTGAAGTCCTGCCTGGGGCAGCCCCCCTCCCACACATACCAGGGCATCATAATGGGAATTGGAGAAGGAGTTTAAGCTGGGGGGTCCCAGCCTGCTCCCCAGCACCCAGGGAGAAGGCACAGCAGACATGTCCATCTCTGCCTCTGCTGGGGGCAGTGGGGGCTAATGCCTCGTGGACGGCCGGGGGAGTTTGTACAAGTTGAATGCAGGTGGCCTGCAAAACCAAGATCACCCTTGTCACCCCCAGCCACAGAGGGGAGCAAGGGACAGCCCAGGGTGCCCTGGGACAGCCCAATGTCATCCCACCCCTGTGCCCAGCCCCACAGGAAAGAGGGTACAGAGATGCCTTCCATCCCACCACCTTGGGGGAGGCTATGAGCATCAGCACCCACAAACTCAGTGTGGGAAGACGATGGGGGAACTCCAGAACATTCTATATTGTACAGGTCCCACCTTCCCCAATCCTTCCCTGGTACTAGCACCCTCTTTGGCCTACCTGCACTTGCCCCCTTCACCTACTTCTCCCCCTCCCTCTGTGCCCTGTACCCCTTCATGCCATTGGAGCTGCCTCCACCCCACGCGGGGACTTCATACTGCTACTTACATCTCCACAACTTCATTCCTGGACAGAAGAAAAAAAGAGGGAACAGTGTCAGTGGAGGGAAAAAAAATGCCTCCTGGGACAACCCAGCATCTCCCTGGAGCAGAGGAAGACCTCCAAGGTTCTCCAGGGAGGACACAGGGGTGCTGCAGGGTGCTATGGTCCCCTCCATCCCATCTGACACATCTGGATGCAGAGCACAGGCTCCTGCAGCCACCCTGGACGTTGCTGTCCCCAGAGGTCACTGCTCCTTCCCCGGGCAAGCAGAGTGGGGCTCTGTGCTCACCAGCTGAGTGGCACAGAGCTCCCCTCGCTGCGATTTCAGTTCCCCCAAGTTTCCCTGGCAGATGGGCCCATGTCTCTAGCCGCTCATCTGCTGGCTGCCAGGGGAACTGAAAGGCACAGGGGCCACCAGTGGGGACCCCGGGCACGCTGCAGGCAGTGCACAGCCTGGCTCAGCACCACATCCTGCACACACCACACAACCCCAGCACGGGTCCTGGGAGAGCTGTGGCAGAGAGTGAGGAGGAGTGGGGCAGGCACGGGGAGGAAGGCTGGCTGGAGGCACGGTGGGCATTGTGGGTGCTGCACAGCCCAGCTCCCCAAGCACCTGCGACCCTGCAGCAGAGAGGTGGTGGGCACGGGGCCGGGGAACCCCCTTCAGGCCAGCTGCACCGCAGGGCCAAGCCATAGCCCTCAGCAGTCAGAAATCCAGCTGGGAGCTGCTCACTACCCTCCAAGGCTGATGGCTGCACTGGCAGCGGGGCTGCCAAAGGGCCCTGGAGGAATGAGGAAAGTGCCTCAGAATGCTGGGGGACAGCCCCGGGGCACCAGTGGCCACAAGCAAGCACTGCACCCTCACAGCAGCGACGCCAACCACGCAGCACGTTGTGTTCCACATGGCATCCAGCTGTGCTCCCGTCTGGGGGCCCCAGCACAAAAAATGCTGCAAAAGCAGAGCAAGTTGGGTGGCAGACCCCAGAGTCAGGCTGGGGGCCGCAGCCCTGCTGTGCAAGCCAGGGTCCTTCCTCCAAGGAGCGGTTTCATGCCCCTTTGGCTGCCCAAAGGAGGGCTGCAGAGCAGGCAGAGATGGGCTCTTCAAAACACCTCCGTCCTCAGAGGCTGAAGGTCCCAAGCCACCCCCCTGCTCTCTCTTCCCATGATGTATTACTTTAGGATAATCTCCATAGGCTGCCACGGGGCACATGAAGGGGTGGCTTGCAGTAGGGGGAGACCCCAGGCCCAGCATGGTTGCAGGGGCAGGCAGCTCCTCACCTGTAGACATCAGCAATGTCCATGCGGCGGTAAAACTTGGCAAGTCGGACTGCCAGGATGATGCTGGGCAGCAGGAAGGTGGTGCACCAGCCCAGGCTGAACCAGAAGGCATTCTGGATGTGTGGAGAGAACGATCAGGGCCCAGCCAGTGACTGGGGCAGCCTCTTCTGCTCCTAGGCTCCCCAAAAGGCCACCCACCCATGCATCCCTTCAAGCAGCCTGGCCTTTATTCTTAGCTACAGCAATCTGCTGGGCAGAAGTTGAGCCCTGCTTGCTCAGGACAGAGATGTCTACCCCTTGTCCCGTGCACTGTGGGGAACAAGGGAACCTCATTGACACTCCACACACATCTGTCACTACACACACCACTGCCCCACTCACCAGAGAGTCCAGGATGTAGTCACAGGTGATGGCCTCCACGTTATCTATGGCCTGAGCTATGGGCTTACAACGTGCCACATCTCTCGTCAACTGGGAACACAGTGGGGTCAGAACGTGACATTGTCCCTGAAAAACCTGCAGCCCATCCTCAC